TTTCAAAACTAAAATTCTGTGGTTGGATGATTCTACAGACCTGCTGTGAGCAATTTCTTCACCCTCCCTTCTCGGTGGTGAAAGGTTTTGCTTTTCACTACCTCCAAATGTGGCAATAACGACTCCCCAGCACAACCCACACGCCCGAGCGAGGCCCAGCCCGGAGCTGGAGAACACCATGGGCTGAGCACCCTGACTCTTGCACAACACCTGGGAGAGAGCAGCGCAGCCGGGGCTCCCACGGGAAGCATCCACAGCCCTGACTCCCCTTCAGAGAGGGAGAAGGGCCCATGACAAACTGCCCAGGACTCCAACTCAAGCTGAGATTTCCTGCTCTCAGCCCCGCTTCACGAGGAGGTTGACCTCGAGAGCCATACGCTGGGTATGCCCAGGCGCAAGGGAGGAAGCCTCGGCAGAGCTGCAGCAGACGTGCAGAAGATCCCAACTGGAGATCGAGTTTATGAATTCCTGTCCCATCCTCCTTTCTTTCATCAGCAGGGGTTACTTTTGCCAACCATCTCACAGCTCCTCAGCTCACTGGTAACTGCATCAGTCTGCCTTTCAGGAGAGAATTTAGTACCCGTTACTGACACGATCACGCAGAGATGTCTCGTGCATCCTCCTCAAACCTCAGCCAAACTGCACTTCCCGGCAGTAGGAAGCGCAAATTTGCTCGGCTTTCCAGCGTGGGTTGCTTCCCACGTTTCACCACAGGACTGTGATTTCTTAAAAGGGAACCAAGAAGCTGCCAAGATTCCCAGAGTCCTGGCAGCCTGGAAACGGCGCTGTTGCGCAACGCAGCAGGTAGGATGGCGAGATAGATGGTTTACGAGTTCAGGAAGGTTTAGCTCAATGCGGTATTGCTTGACAGGCAGAACTGGTGAGCCAGAAGCCAGGAACATGGATCCTGAGAAAGCAGTTCCTGTATCCCCCAAGAGAAGACATCCCTTTGGGATGCTGCAAGATTTTGCACCCTCCGAAGAGGGTGGCTGAGCAGGATTGGGCAGGAGCCCTTACCTTAAGCCGGGACCAGCTCCTGCCTGAGCACTGGAAGAGGCAGTGCTGGTGCTTTTGCCCAGGAACTTTTAAAGCATCACAGGAAATACAGATTTTTGCCTGTTTCCTAAGCAATCGCACTGGGAGATGCAGGACACGCGGGTGCAGAGTCCCCTTGGGTCGCCCAGCAAGGGGAAGGCTCACAGCAGCTCTTCCCCCAGGCCCTGAAGCACTGAACAGAGCGTTGTGCTTGGCACCGTCCCAACGCCTTCTTTTGAAAAGACCTTGGAGGTTTCCCAAGCACTTCCCAGCCCTCACGACACCCCGAGAGCCACCGCGCTCTCCTTGCTCACACGCGAGACGGAGATGCAGCACAGCGACGTGCCCGCTTCTGCCTCCCACGTCCTACCCTTTCTCTCCACCTCCTCAACCTTCCTGTTATTCTGACACGAAAACGTCAGTGCCAACATTTCACAGCCCCTTTCCCTTTCATTTATCAAAGAAGAAGATTGTAAAGCTGCATCTTAAGCACCTGATTGCCAAGACAATCCCTGCAAGGGCCCAGGGGCTTTGTGAGCGTGGCACTTCCACATGAGGATCTCCAGAGAGGTCTGGGTAGGTAAGGATGAGGTCCTTTCCAGGAAGATTAACCCTGCGCTCCCGCAAGGCTTCTCACTTACCACACGTTCAGTGCTAATGAGAGGAAAGACAGATCTCCACTGCTTTTCCTCCCAGCCGAAATGCGAGGGGGAAGAGATCAGGGCTCATCAGGGCTGCTGCCAGAAAACGCGACCCATGGCAATCAGGAAACAATGGATTGGAGGGAGGCAACTACATCTTCCATCACGGCCGGGGGATAGTTTGACAAGCGGAGCCTACGCCGGTGCGAAGGCTGGCACGTGCCCACCTCAGATCCGGGGTTTAAATCAGCCCTGAGCTTGCCATTCTTCTTCCTGGTTTTCCACACGTGCTTCTGGGAGGAAGTCGGTCCCACCTGCCAAGCAAACTCCAGGAAGGAAAGCCTCGGCCAGCACTTTTGGACACAACCCTTAAGTTTCTCACTGAGCAGCATTAAGCAGCGAGTGCTGCAGCAGACTATTCTCTCATCTAATCCACATTGTCTCCTCTCTCTTCCCCTTCTCCCAGGCAAGCCAGGAGCAGTAATTCCCACGAGTGAGACTCTTAGAGAGCACAGGGCCCTTTGCTCCCGCTACCATACCTCCCGCCAGTCCCAAGCCCAGCAGGGGCTGATTTGGGCAGCAGGCGGAGGGATTCGGCTTTTGCAGGTGATATTTGCTCCATGAAACCGTGCCAGAAATCAGGGCAGGAATGGAGAGCCAAGGGAAGCCTCTTGGGCAACGGCAAGCACACACCATGGAAGAACTTCCAGCCGAGAACAGAAGAACCTTTATGCAGGAACAGGGAATGGCTGGCAAATACCTGATGTGTCACAAAGGGGGCTGAGTTGCATATATGGGTCACAACCCTCATCCCCTCGTGGATTTTTGGAGTCCACAGGGCTGGGCACTTCCCAAAATGCTTTGCAACAGCAGCGGCTCAACTCACTATTAACGTCAATCATTCCGAAACGGATTTTGACTTTGCTTCAGCCATTTCTTCCTGCACCCAGGAAGCACCAGGACAGCTCGGAGATGGTGGAAAAAGCGCTCCAAATGGCCAACGGCACCTGCCCGGCTGCCAGAGATGCTGCCCACGTCCCTGCTGCAGAGCCACAGCACCGCAGAGCCCCCACCCAGCGCGCGCTACCAGCCCTGAAAGCTGTCACTGTGCCACAGCACCACGCTCCGGTATTGCCGGGAGCACAGACGTTATCTCTGTCAATCTGTCATTTATCGATCAAGCCCAGAAATGCTTCTGAAACAGCAGCTCGGCCCGATTGGAGCTGCCAGCTCCGCACCGGAGCACAACTGCTCCCATCCAGCCGGGCGGCGTGGCAGCCCGCTGGCCTGCCAGCAGTGCCGTCCCTTTAAACCAGAACTGCCGCTGGGAAAAGGGAAATAAGGGAAAGCAAACCCTTTGGATGAGAGAACTAGTCACGGAGCGTGCGAGGCAGCGGTCGTTAGCTCAAACAGCGAGCTCAGCCCGGGTACAAAGTGCAAGGATCTGCGATCAGGCAAGCGGCCAAGGTCTCCTCTCGGGTACCCGCAGGGAGAGGTGACCAGGCGATGTCCTCAGGTCTGTGACCTCGGCCCCGAGGCAGGGGACAGGAGAGCAGGCAAGAGGGGGACCAAATGCAGACAAATATGGTTTTCCTTTAAAAGAAAAAAAACAAATAAGGGTGGGAACACCAATCTGGCAAGCTGCCCTGGTGCCGTTAGCCTTGCTACGGCCCAGCACGTTTTCTACAAGGTCGCAACAAAGCAGATTCGCAGAGCCTTAAAGAGAAGTGCGGGCCCTCATGAAAAGAGCAGAATTTGCAGAAAAGGTGTGACACCAGTATTGCTGAGCCAGCACAGACAGAGAAATCCAGGGAAGCTTTTTCCTGCAAGGAAAGATACCTCCCTGCCTTTAGCTAACACATCAGGAACTGTGTCTGGAGGGGTGAGACCTGGCAATGCTGCGGGGAAGCAGCACATAAGGTAAGCAGTACTTCAACAACACATAAACATTCAGTAAATCACCATAAATCAGGTGCTACGAGGACCAGACCCACAGGACACTGGCTCCCAGGACCTTTCCTCCCAGGCCACCGCCCCGTCTCCTGCAGAAACAGGAGCGTCCCCGAGTTACGCAGCCCTTCCGACTGAAGAATCTTCTGAAGGAATGATTACACACGGGAGATTTAACCCATGGATGGGATAACGTAACACGCGTGGCTGCCCATGAGCCAGATCCTTGTAAGCAGCGGTCTTTTCCTGAAGGAATTACAGACCCTTTGCAACATTCCCAGCCAACACAGAGAGCCGGCCAGCTGGTCTTGAGCTTGCCACCGAGAAATAGGAGACAGGAAAGGAGCGACCGGTCATTTGGTGCAGCACACAGCATGACACGGCTCCGGATACTGCCTGAAATCAGGGTGTGCTGCAGCCAGGTAAACGGTATCCCAGCTGGTATCCAGTGATCTACAGCAGCACGTTCTTAAGCAAGTCTAAGCGTGAAACTACCCTGCCAAAACCCAGCTTCAGTGAGCCCCACGCGCTCACTCGGGCAAAGAAGGATTAAAGCAAAGAAAAGATCTTACGGAAACTCAAACAGATATAAATAACGGACGTTACGACCTCCAGCTCCTCAGAACTTCGGAAGAATTCACAGCCACCAACCGCACGGACAGCGGTGACGTTACAAGGTGAGATTGACTCAGGCTTGAAACCAAAGGGACGGAGACGGCTCACCGCCACGGGCAAATGGAATCACGTCTCCGAACTCCTCTGGGAAAGCTGCTGTTCTTCTTATCACCTCGTTCACGCCAGCCACCTTTGTGT